CTATCTAATAGGTTCGAATATGAACTATCTAAAAAAAAATTAAACAAAATTAGACCTCTTTTTAAGTGATCTAATTAGTAGTAGTTGGTCAGTTTTGAGCTCAAACTCACCCATAACCGACCACTAATCACTCTTAATTATTGTGGTGTTGGTTGAGTAGCAGCATCAGTAGTAATGAGCTACCATAATGGAAGCAAGAGTAATGTGTATTTTAAAAATATAAAAGTATTGAATGAGTTGTTTATATAATTAAAAACTAAAAAGCCATTTTTTTCAAGAATAAAGTTAAAATTGTTTTAAAATTAGTTATAAATCAATTCAACTCTATCATATTTAAATGTGTTTTGTATTAAAAAATTGCATTTAAAAATAAAAAAATAACTTGGAACCACCCCAAATCTTTTTGGTTTTTAATTTATATTGCTAAGTTTAAGAAATAATTTTAATTTTAATTTTACATTTTCACTAATAAACATATTTTAAAGAATAGGATAAGGGTGCGTTTAGATATACTGTTTATTTAAGTACTAATTTAATATTTTTTTTTTAAATTTGAAGAATTGGTAAAAAATAGCTTATAACTTTTATAAACTATTTTTAGCTTATTTCAATAAATTTTTTAATATAACTTATTAAAATAAGATATTTTCAACTTATTCTAGTATTTTTATTGTTAAATTTATAATATATAAATTATCATTGTAAAAATAAATAATAAAATAAGTAGTTATAAAAAACACATTCTGTTCAACAATAAAATTCATTAAAATAAAATAAAAATAATTTATTTTAATAAGTTATATTAAGAAGTTTAAAATTAATTTAAAATATTTTATAAAAAAATAGAGTCTATTCTTCATATGTTGTTGATAAGCTTGCAAGCTTATTGACTAACAACTAGCTAATCCCTAATCTAGACAATCTGAGAAATTGATGGAACAAACAATTAATAAAGAACCATCCAAAGCTGATGAAATTGGATATGAACCGGTGTCACTGAACTGGTTTGAACTATTTTTATTTTTATACTTTTTTAAGTCTAAGACACTTTCAAACAAAATGAAGGTTAATGTATGAGATATACATGACTTGGTATTATCTAACTATTTATTATGATTTTTTTATTTAGAAAAACATGTAATACGGTCTTTTATATTAATTAAAATTTTTACTTAATTTATTTTTCTTATAATTTTATATTAACATGCTATTTGATATATTATATACAATTAAAAATATATATTTAGTTATAATCAGTTCCATCCTAATTTAACCATACTCAAGCTATTGAATTGTAAACCAATACTTATACTATAGTTCAATCAAAATTATGTTACATTATTTTATTTTTTTTAAAATTAGATAGCAATCTGTACAGTAAATGAGAAAACTTTTTTTTTTTCTGTTTTAAATTAAACCCTTTGAAACAAAAATTAAATAAAAGACTTAACTGTACTTTTCTAAAGATTATTTTTTGAATTAATTAAGTCCCAATATTTTAAAAATTCATCAAATTTAGTCTTCGATCAGTTGTTTTCTTTTACCCAAAACTCTCTATTCTTTATTTTACAATCAAATTTTTTTGGAGAATTTTTAATGGAATTGAAACAAAATAATTTTATAAGTTAAAAAGTAAAAAATAAAAAATTTATAAAATTTAAACAATTTTATAAGATGTGAGATTAGAATTTGAAGAGAAAAAAGATTTTGTTTTAATTCTGGGTAAAATTTAATATTTTGATTGATTAATTTTGACCAGATAACAATTTAAGTTGTAAATATTTTGAGTAAAAAGATTAGAATTTAGCAGTTTTAAGTAGAAGAAAACGAAGGAGAGACTAAAAGCCAAAAGTTTAAAAATAAAAAGACTTGATTAGTTAAAAAGAATTGAACACCAAAATCTTACGAAATTTAAATTAGAGAGATAAAAGTTACAATAAATTAAACAAATTAATGTTTGTCATATCCAACTCTTGAAAATATACAAAATGGTAGGGTATGAGTGTGTAACGATAGATATTATCTTCTTTAATTTGATGTTTGATGGGTTCCAGTTGAGAGCCAAGGGATTGTGCCATGCCAGATCACGTTCATCATCAATTGCTTAAGATATGATGTGAGAATTTATTTATTATAATTCTTTTATTATTATTATTATTATTATTATTGATTTGGTCACTCAAAAATAAATCCTAATTAATTAATTGATAAACAATCATACTATTAATAGATTACATAATTAAGAAGTAAGCTGGAAATAAGAGTTAAAAGGATCAATCAATTATCCTATACTTTTAATTAGTTAATTAAGTTTAACAAATCAAATGAAATTTAATGTTCTTTTTTTCAACTATTATTATATATGATTATTAAGATAAAACTTAGATAAAAAGACTATCGTTATTGTATAATTATTAGATAATAGCAACAATCAATTAGATGATTGGTAATCAGAATAGTACAACAATTTAGAATTGGAATACATTTAAATAGTCATAAAGAGAAACCAAAACCCAATGCTTAATTCCATATAACTCTACTTTGTGATTTCTCTATTTTGTTATTATTTTATCAATTCACTTAAATTTTTATTACTTTCAAGCCAAGTACTCTCTTTAATCGCATTGTTTAACATTCAAAAACATTATAATAAGTACTTGTGAGTATAATTTCTATAAAAATAATAGTGAGAGAGTTTAAAACATTTCCTTTTATTACAATTAATGGATGTACTTAAAGAACTAATGATTCATGCCAGCTTAGTCACCCCTTCAGATATAGAATTTAATTACATTACACAAGCTAATAATTACATAACTAAAAAAATACATTAATATGACTTACGCATCATAATAAACTATTGTAACTATTTAGATATATCTGTTAACACTAATGTCAAACTTAAGTATTGGAATTTAATTCATGAGTTAATGCTAAAAAAATGTATTTTAACTTTGTATTATGGAATTGAGTTTGACGATTCAAATTTCTGTTGTGACTATCCAAATATATTTTAATTCAATTTAAAATTATTGTGCTATTTTAATTACTAATTATTTAATTGATTATTACTATTATTTAATAATCATACAATAATGATAGTTTTTTTTTTCATTTAAGTGTCATCTTAACGATCATAGATAATAACAATCAAATAAGAGTATTAAGGTTCACTACTCTATGGCAGAGAACATTGTCTCTTTTTAATATATAGTAGAAATGATGCTTACAATGTAGGAGAAGGATAGTGTGAATGTGCGAGAGAAAGGAGTGTTACGATGGAAGATTGGAGTTTAAGTATAGAGAAGAGACAAAGAGAGATGAGTCTTTAAAGAAGATCTCCAATTCAAAAGATTAAAAATATAAAATACAAATTCAAAATTTAAAATTTAAAATTTACTTTTAAAATTCAAATTCAAATTCAAAATTTAATTTTAAAAATTAAAATCTGAATTATAATTTAGATTCAAAAACCAAATTCAAAATTTAGACCCAAATTCAAAGTTTAAAATTCAAATTTAAAATTCAAATCCAAATTTACAATTTAAAAATTAAATTTAAAATTTAGATCTAATTTCAAATTTAAAATTCATCAATTTTTTTTATTTATTTCAACAATTTTTCTTCATATTTTGACTCATTTTAATCAAGTGGTATTATCACTACTTTCTACAATAAAATTAAGAAAAATTTAGTTTATTCAAGAAATAAAATAATAATTATAATAATTAAAAAGGATAAAATCTTCTAAATAAACTCGCATCATTTATCTGAAAACCAATTTCGCATGAAATTTCACATGAAGATAGTGTCTATCTTTATACACTTATAACAGTGGCATTCTCAAACAATACAAGTCACAAGCAAAATAACAATTCAAATATCTCTTTCGTAGATAAGTCCTAGCATTTTGCATTGTGCTGGGTACATTGCCACTCAGAATAGAAGACAATTGTATTAAAATATACTTGATCTCATGTACAACTGAACAATTGAACATTAACTAATGGACCAAAATCACAAAGTAGACACTTGAATAATTGAATTATTTCAATGTTATAATGAAAAATAAAAGAACATATTTGGAATTTCTCATTCTGTTAGTCTGTTCTAATCCATGGTACAACATTGATGTCTCTACTTATGTACTTCAAGCAATAAGTTATACGTTGGAAGGCATCTTCGCTGCAAGGAAATGTGAGGCCACTCGTCGGATGATCATACTCAAACTCATTCACAGCTTGGCTAAACAAGTCTTGAAATGAAGGTTTGCAGCAAATAATGCCATTCTGATACATTGGTAAACGAAAACCCATTGTGGTCTGTGTTGAAAAGAGACTGATCTGAAAAGACTTGTATTTTTTTATGCAAGTTTGAGTTTCAAATGCTTTAGGATATGAATGGTATGTGTTGGTCATAAATGCTTGCAGCCATGAATATATATTTAGATGAGACTTGTATTTTTTTTATTGTTTTTTCAATTTGGCTTGAAAACTGTAAACCTTTGCTTCTTGCATTGTAAGGTCTTAACTTCATTGAATCAAAAGAGAGAAGTTATGGAAAAGCATCGTTTCTTTGGATCCTGGTTCTTTGACTTCTACAAATAAACCTTTATGTTATAGTAAAGTCCATTGTTATTTTGCACCTGCCTTGGCAGGGAAGGTGCCTTACATGTGATTATTTATTTGCACTTCATAATTTAAATTTCATATGTATATTTATTTATCCTCAAATATATTTTAGCTTTTTCCTAAATAAACTTATCTTTAGCTCTTGAAGCTTGGGAATTTTTTTTTCCTTGACACTTGCTAGGAATCATGAGTTCTATTATTGCTTTAAAATTTATCACAATAAATAACCTCTAGGTTTTCTTACACCAAGCAACCTGGCTCATACAGGGAGAAGGGAAATAGACAGAAAACACAGAGTGGCCACTAAGTAGTTGAATTCATTGTCATTAAAGACAAAAGAAAATAATGTACTATGACTTCAATGATCTTTCTTTTTCCTATTTCTCCAGAAAGGGAGATCTTTACAAGGTCAGAAGATGCCTATTGTATACAAAATGTGTCAACTAATCTATGTCAGTCTGTTATAGTGTAAGATTCAGTGTCCATTGAAGCAAGAAGTTATATGTAAGAAGACATCTTCGCTGCAAGGAATTGTGAGGCCACCCATGGGATGATCATATCCAAATTCTTCCTCAGCTTGACTCAACAAGTCTTGGAACCAAGGTTGGCTCAAGTATGATATAGGGATCACAAACCGCTTCATTTTCGCTCCAACGTAGACAGCAAGATAACCTTTTGGTGCATCCATTGCGTTTGAAGACACCCTTCTCATACCAGGTAAACGGAAACCCATTGTTGTAGTAATTGTGATTGGGACTTGAGAAGATAATGGCCTAAGAAGACTTGAAATTTAGCTTTGGAGTTTCAAATGCTTCAAGATGTGAATGATTTGTGCTGGTCCTAGATGCTTGCAGCCTTGAATATATAGATAAAATAAAAGGATATGTAAGAAAGCATTAATTGGCTACTTGAATTATTAAGGAAGGAAGGATATGAGATAAGATCTATGGGACCAAATGACAGACAAAGCATATGGTGTTGTCTCAGAGGAAACTCTCAAGATTCAACCTAACATATCATAGTAGATAACACAAGTCCCACCTTATGGAACAGATTTGACATACAAAAAGTAATGTGGTCCATAATGCCTCGTGATCATGTATTCAATGTCGGTTCTCTTCTGATCTCCAGTCACTATTCATTAATCAAGTTTTCTCAAGCCTCAAGGGTTACATCATACATGGTTCTTATCAACAATGGTTGTCACTCTAATATTAGTTGGTATATGGTTGCTATATATTTATAGCATTGTCATCCTCTTTAAAGAAACTTGTGACATGTCTAAAGCATGTTTCTAATTGAAGTAGCTACAACTCAACGAATGAACAAGCATAAGGTTTCGCATTAACTGATGTATTTGATTTCAAATGGATAAATCTGTGGTCATTGCCACAGAGGTGGGGTATGGTATGCACTCTCATTTATCCTATCCTTGAAAGAGATCACTGAGACAATACCATGTGATCCTTGTCTTCCAGTAGATCCTATCTTAGCCCGATCAAAAATCATTCAATGTGGAATTAGATTGCAGTTGTAGAGGACCCTTAGCAGCTATATATACACTGCTTCTTCGGTTGTCCAGCAACACAAGTCATTTGCATCCTCAAGCCTTAGAATTCAAATATTACTTTCTCATACAAATTCCTTGACATAAATCATTAATTCCTTTTTGTGTAGCAACAAAAACAAATGGGTTTTCGCATACCAAGTATTATTAGAAGAGCATCATTTTCTTCAGCCCCTGCAGCTTCAAGGGGAACTGGAGTCCCAAAAGGCTATCTTGCAGTCTATGTTGGAGATGAAATGAAACGGTTTGTGATTCAAGTATCGCTTTTGAACCAACCTTTATTTCAAGAATTACTGAGTGATGTAGAAGAGGAATTTGGATATGATCATCCAACAGGTGGTCTCACAATTCCATGCAAGGAGGATGAGTTCCTACGCCTCATTTCTCGCTTGAATCAGCTGTAAATCATGCTAATGAAGACCAATAGATTAGTGGAGGCAAATTTGTACGGAAGGAACTTTCTTTTGATGTGAAGATTTTGCAATTTTTGTTCCTGTATAATCTTGTAGAAGTTCAAATTTTTTTACGTGAATGAGAATATTAAGACAAGATATTGCAGAAAACTGTTTGCTTTTGCCGAAACACTTCCTGTGATCGGAATTCTTGTTTTTTATGTATGAAAACTGTCAATATCTTCTGTTATTGTTGTGAAATTATTGGCAAAGATATGAAATTAAAAAATATTACAATTTAATAATAGGTTGATGATTTAGGATTAAAATAATTCTAAATCTTAAATTCGATTTTGTAATACGTAGCTAAGTTAGATAGCAATAAGATTGATCCAGTCTTAATAACAATGAAAGCAGCAAAACATACTCCATTGAAACATAAATATAAATTTATTAGAAGAAAAAAGAATAAAAACCCAACGTTCGCAATTATAAGAGACATCATCATATTGGTTATTACGCGTAAAAAAGAAACAAAAGTAAAATGAAAGGAAAAAAAACTTGATGAAAATAATGAGGTTAAAGTGGCTAAAGGATTTTCGAGACGTTGACGTGTAGACTCTAAGAGAAGATCCACAACACAGCTTCAGAATAGTATATTGACTCTCATGTCTTTACAGCAAAAGAAAGGAAAGAAAATGGATCCAAAGGTGAGAAATGGTTTGGATGATAACTGTGAGTGGTGCGTTGTTATCTTGTCGATTTATAATTATACTTTTCTCCTTTTCTACTTCCTTATCACTAACAAATTCAAAATTTAGATAAGACATCTATTCTTTTTTAATTATCTTCGCCAATCCTTTATCAACTCTTTGTGTGGTTCATATCTTTATCAACTCTTTCTACTCCAAATAATCAATTTCCTAATCCAAAATAAAATATTAAAATAAATTAACAAACTCATTTCAGAATAATATAAAGGTCCCAAAATTTTTTATTATTTTACTTAAGGGTCTCCAAAGAATTTATGTTAGGCTCAAAATAGAGAACTACAAAATATATATTGAAAAAAAATAACAGTAATAATTATGACAACCACATTGATAAATATGACATTGATTGCGATGATAAAGTGACAATGTAAGTAGTTGATGGTGGTGAAGAACTACAATTATGGTTGTTGTTAGAGGTGTGATGCCAACAAAGATAGTGGTTGGTGGTGATTGTAACAATGATAATAGAAGTGGCAACGGAGGTGATTGATAGTTAAGGTGACCAATGATAAAATAATAAAGGTGGTAACTACTCCTTCTAGATTTGAACTTAAACAAAAAATAATTAACTCACACTAATTAAAAATAATGATTAACTTCATTTAACTTTTTTAACCTCATTTAAAAATGTACTTCATTTGCGAAATTGTCTTTCATTATATTTATTCTATAGGAAAAAAATAAAACTAGATTGTCTTCTTTTCTCACATAGGTCTTGCGTTAATTTTTGCCTTCCTTCATTGTTATTTTAAACTTAAACTTCATAAAAAATAAAATCACAGAAAATTGCCTCCAAAATTTTGCTTAAACTTATTAGGACGACAAGTGTGAAGGCACTGTAATTCCCTTTAAATTGAAGTTTGACGTTTGCTCAAAACTTGCAAGATATAGTAAGAGTTGGTTGTTTGAGTATTTTTTTTATTTTTATTTTATCATTTAGTGTGTATGTACTTTTTGAACATGGCCCTAGATATTGAATTGAGCACCCCTTGCAAAGATTAATTCTTTACTACAACTTCATCATTGTGGTGAGAGATCACTTCACTTGCAAACAAGCCATCTTGAACATGAGTAGCCTCCCCATCCTTATCTAGTGAGTCTTTAATAATGAGAAGTGACACATCTTCAAACTCAATTGAATCATTGTACTCTAACTCTGAGTCATTCTCTAGTCATGAATCCTCAACTACCATAGCATCATCACAGTCATTATGAATGTTAAACTCAAACGAGAGAATGTCTATTTTTTGGTATAGATGAGTGGAGAAGAAGACGAAGTTTGGAAGAGAAAAAACAAACCTTTTATATAAATGATGGTCATATTTTAGTGATGAAACCATTCAACATCTCGATGGAAGACTTTAATTCTATGGAAACTTGTTTCAAATGGGATTACTATTTCTTCTTTTTAAAAGTCTCACAAGAATAAAATAAGTTATTCGGAATAAAATTTGAATTAAATAGAGAGTATTTTAGGGTTTAGGGTATCAAATCAATTAAGATTTACTTATATTTTGGACCACCACACATAAGTTTAAATTTGCTTATATTTGAGTTTAGAGAGAGTATAATAATAGTAATAATAATAATTATTTTGACAATAAATGATGATTGTGATTTTAGTAGCCACAATTGTGAGGGTGGTAATAAAGGTGACAACGGTATAATCTTTATCTTTATATATATATATATATATATATAAAAGTAGATGAATTTTGGAGGTTTGCCTTCATAATTATATTAATTTAGTATAATTAATATATTTACCTTCTTTTGTAATTTTAATATTAATACATTACTGCATTTATTCTGAATTTTTAGAGAAGTTTGCCTTTACAACTGCGTTAATTTAGTGCAATTAACATATTTATCCATTTTTCTAACTCTAATATTGACATATTAATGCATTTATTCTTGCAAATTAATGAGTTTATATATTTGAAAGGCCATAAAATAATGGAATGGGTAAAAATTAATATGGGTTTATATTTTTGAAAGGTCATGCATGTTATATTTTAATATGTTATATATAGTCAAATGATTTTAATATGGATAGATGTAAAATATTTAATAAAGAGAAATAAATTGTATTTTATTTAGTATATATAAGGGTGAGTACAAGTTATTTGTTTAAAATAATATTTTTACAAAATGTCACCTACAATTTCAATGCTTTCTGAAATATGATTTAAAATAATATTTTTACAAATTTTAATACTTGATATTTGATTAATGAGGAATAATGAAATGAATAATAAGAATTAATGAGTTTATATATTCGAAAGGTCATGCAATAATGAAATGAATAAAAATTAATATTAATTTAGTGCAATTAACATATTTACCCATTTTTTTAAACTTTAATATTGACATATTAATGAATTTATTCTTGACAAGTTTACAATACTTTTGAATTTTAATATTAATGATTTACTTTAAATTTTTTTATTAGAAACTAAAATTGGTATTTGAATAATGAGGAATAGTTTTTTTTTTTTTGATAATCACAAAGTTAGAATTAATAGGAGCACAAATTATGTTTAAAGTTACAAGCCGAACAGTAAAATTAACACCAATAATTAAGCAAACCCTATTCAAAGCCACAACTAATAGCTTTGAGGAGGTTCTACTCCCAACAAAACAATCTACCTCTCCATGTTCTAATTAATCCCCAAAATTATATTTAGTAATACGGTTCTAACATGACAATTACTAACCATCTAAACATTCCCCTCCCACAGCAAAGACAATATATACATGATTGCAAATCCCTAACAATAACTACAGCCAACCAACCTATGACAATAACTATATTAAAGGAATAGCACCTGGGAGCTATCCATAGGATTAGTGCACCACGCCAAATAGGTAAAGCACATTAAACTTGAATATCCTACCATAGCTTTCCATGATTTCAATTTGATACTTTCAACCACTTTACTAGCGCACACTTCCAAATTAGAGAAAATCACCTCATTTTTATGTTTCCAAATGCACCAACATACCAAACTTCATATAGTTAAGTTCATTTTCCATCTCTTTTTTCCTGCAATAATGTTGGAAAAGTACGCAGCATTGGCCTCGGTGGTTCCTGCTATCTGAATTTGACAACCAATCCATGAAGCTATCTGGTGCCAAACTATCCTCGCAAATGCATATTCAAACAACAAATGGAATGCCGACTCTGACTCACAGCCACACAAAACACATAGATCATTTTCTAATATATGACCCATGCCCCTTGAGACCAAGTTGAGTTTAGAGGGGAAACCATTATGCAAGACTTGTCATATAAATACTTTGACTTTGTGGGGGTGTCCAATAGAGCTAAATCTTTTTAAGAATTACACCAGGAACTTGTTCCAGAGCTATCCCTCTATTGCAGAGATTTTGAATAGCTTGATACCCAGATTTTACATTGTATCCTTTGACTCTATCTCTCATCCACACTCATCTATCCAAGGAATTTTGAATAGGTTGGTGTACCTGCAAAATAGAAAACAAGTTAGAGAAAGTGGTTACCTCCACATGTCTCAATTGCCTCCTCCAACCTATTCTTCATTCCCATCTCCCATCTATCCACACTCCATTTTCCCTCACAAGGCTGTTTTTATCTAATACCAAGTTGTACAGCCTCAGAAATAAATTTTCAAAGCTATCCACACTAAGCCAAACCTCCTTCCAAAACTTAACGGTTCCCCCATCTCCCATCACCTTCTTTGTACCATTAACCCACCACCCATTAGCTAGGTTCACAACTTTCCTCACATCTCTCCACCACCAAGACACCTTTGAGTTAGAAAACTCTACATTTGAAATAGCAAAATCATAACCATATCTTGCTCTAAGGATGTCCCCCTATAAGTTGCTTTGATTGTTTAAGGCTCTCCATGCCCACTTTCCCAACAAGGCCCAATTGAAATGCTCAATATGTTTTACTCCCAAACCACCTATCTCCTTGTTCTTACACACTACCTCCCATTTAACCCATGGAATTTTCTTTGTATCCTTGACCTCTCCCCATAGGAACCTCCTTTGTATCTGAATCACTTCCTTAACCACCCCTTTTGGCATCTTATAAAACGAAAGATAGTGAATCAGAATACTATTAATAAGAATGAATGAATAAGAATTAATGAGTTTATAAATTTGAAAAGTTATAGAACAATAGAATGAATAAGAATTAATATTAATTTAATGCAATTAGTATATTTATCCATTTTTTTTGTAACTTTAAAATTAACATATTAATGCATTTATTTTTGCAAAGTTTAAAATATTTTCAAATTTTAATATTAATAGTTTACTCTAAATTTTAATTTAGTGCGATTAACATATTTACACATTTTTTAAACTTTAATATTAACATATTAATACATTTATTCTTACAACATTTAAGGCAAAACAATAATCAGTTATAAATAATCAATTTTTATTAATAATAATTAATATGTATGGATTTATTTCAAACTTTAAAATAATTTAAATATTATCATAAAAAGTTTATAAAATTATTTTTTTATAATTAATAATTATAATATTATATTATGACGTAATAACATATATGTGCATTACACATGTCATCTTACTAGTTGTGATAATGCTAGATAGTTGAAGTAGTGGCAATTAATGGTGCTGATAGTGGGACACTAATAGAAATGGTGATAGGTAGTTAAAGTGGGCAAATAATATTAAATATGATGGTCAATGGTAGTGACTATGTTGATAACACCAAATAAAGATAATAATAATTAATAATGGTGCTAGTTTTAGTTGTGGTAATGACAATAGTGATGATAATGATAGTAAGAGTAAAATACATGTATTTAAAAAAGAAAAAGTAATTAGATGAGTTGTTTCTATAATTGAAAACCAAATAATCAAATTAATTTTTTTTGTTTTAAGAATAGAGTTAAAATTGTTTTGAACTTAGTTATAAATCAATTTAACTTGAGTGTACTTAAATATGTTACGTATTATTAGCAAAAATTAAAAAAATTACATTTAAAAATAAAAATAACTTGCAACCATTCTAAATCTTTTTTTATTTACACCTCTTAGTTTAAGAAATGTTTTTAATTTTTAATTTACATTTTACTAATAAAAAATATTTTAAAGTCTAATTTAAGGATGCATTGGATACATTATTTATTTAAACACTTATTTAATACTTTTTTTAAATAATAATTTATCCTATTTGAAAAAAAAAATTACAAAGAATTTATAGAAAACATTTTTAGTTTATCTTAATAATTTTTTTAGTATAACTTATCAAAATAAGATATTTTTAGTTTATTTTAATATTTTTTTATTAAACTTATGACTGAAGTCATCATTACAGAAATAACTTATTGAATAAATAATAAAATAAGCAATTATAAAACACACTCATTTAAAGATAAAATTTATTAAGATAATATAAAAGCAACTTATTTTGATAAGCTATATTAAAAATTTATTACAATTAAATTAAAATACTTTATGAGAATTGCAGTTTAATTTTCATAAGTTCTTCGTAAGTTTATGCTAGCTAGTCACTAATCTAGACAATCTAAAAAGTTGAAGGAGTAAACAATTAGCAAAGAACATGAAATTGGATATGATTACAAGTCTAAAACACTTTCAAACGAAATGAATGTTAATATATAAGATACAAATGACTCGGTAATATCTAACTATTTATTATGATTTTTTTAATTTAGGAAAACATGTAATATGGTCTTTTTATTTAGATTAAAATTTTTACTTAATTTAATTTTCTTATAATTTTATATTAACTTGCTATTTAATATATTATATATTATTAAAAATGTATATTTAGTTATAATCAGTTCCATCCTAATTTAACCACAGTCAAGCTATTGAATTGTAAATTTATACTTATACTAGTTCAATCATTGGTTAGTTTAAAATATTATTAATAATATTAACAGAAGTTGGTCTGAGTGGCAAGCGGCTCATTATCACTTAACAAAGGTTTTAGATTTGAGCTTTTGTATATGTAAAAAATCTTCAGTAACTTGTGCAAAAAAGAAATTTGAATTATTATTTTATTAGTAAATTTTATTTTTTCTACGTTACTCTTATGAATATATAAAGCTAGATATTATCTTTTTAGAAACATTTTTAAGTTCATCATGAATTACATAAAATATGATGTGAGAATTTATGTGAGTTTTACTATTCAATAAATTCATATTCTGTTATTTTATTTATGAAATTTTAGTTTTTTTATTAGAATTGTATTTTATCTTTTAAATTAGTTAAATTTTTATTTTATTTTATTATAAGAATTAATGACTAATATAATCTAATTAAAATATGTGAACTTCTTAATAAAAGTTTATTGAAACGAATAAATAATGAGTGAATTTTAAATCTGATTTTGAATTTAAAATTTAAATTTTAAATATGAATTTTGAATTTTGAAACTGAATTTTGAATTTTTATCCTTTTTATCTTTAGTTACTTAAAATCAGTCCAAAAGTCGATACTAATATTTTCCATGACTAAAATAGTAAAAAATATGTCTAATGTGGATCTCTTGCACCCACCGGTCACCAGAGCTGTGCAAGAGGAGCATCCACTATATAGTCCGTGCAATACAATACTTAAAATGTTGTGTTGACAGTTAATTGTATGCACATAGCTGCGTTTTATTTCAGATACAGAAGTTATAGAAAAGCATTGGTTCTTTGAGATATATAGCTTCGTTTTATTTAACCAAAGTCTAGTTTTTCTTACACCAATTTACTTTGCTTGTAAAGGAAGAAACGAAGTAAAGAGAAAACACAGAGTGGCCTCTAAGTTGTTGAATTCACTGTCATTAAAGACAAAAGAAAATGATGTACTATGACTTCAATGATCTTTCTTTTCCCTATTTCTCCAGAAAGGGAGATCTTTACAAGTTCAGAAGATGCCTATTGTATACAAAATGTCTCAACTAATCTATGTCAGTCTGTTATAGTGTAAGATTCAGTGTCCATTGAAGCAAGAAGTTATATGTAAGAAGACATCTTCGCTGCAAGGAATTGTGAGGCCACCCATGGGATGATCATATCCAAATTCTTCCTCTGCTTGACTCAACAAGTCTTGGAACCAAGGTTGGCTCAAGTATGATATAGGGATCACAAACCGCTTCATTTTCGCTCCAACGTAGACAGCAAGATAACCTTTTGGTGCATCCATTGCTTTTGAAGACACCCTTCTCATACCAGGTAAACGAAAACCCATTATTGTA